TACTTTATTTTCAAACTTTACTCAACATGAGGTGAACTTCTGTAGATAAAGGTTTAGAAAACAAATTTTCAGATGTTGAACAAATCAAAATTTTAATTTAACACCATCCTTAGGTATTTATGAGCGTCATTGATATTTTTGAAAATACTAATTTTATCTTGGCTTTAAAAACGTTTTTTAAATAGAGTTCAACAAATTTCTTTCACCATCTATTTTTAGAAGATAATTTTTGGTAAAGATTAAGCACTACAAATCTTATTAATTATTCAATGTCGAAATTTAATATATTTTTAGTGTCAAATTGAATATTATTTATTTACACGAAAACTTTTATTAATATACAAATTTTCAACTGTTCTCTGTCATAATTTGTGACGCATGTTTGACAACACGTCGCAAATAATCCCATTGCTCATAAGCCAACTCCATTATCCCTACAACACCACAAAATCCGCAACAAATCCCCCAAATCTTTAACGTCGTGGTAAACTTGGACCCAAAATCTAATCTTTCCAATGCACCAACTTTTGGCCGCGTCCAATTCGCATAATACGGGAACAATTTATTCGGTCGTGTCATCCTAAACCAGTCCTCCCACCACTTATAAATTCCCAAAACCATGAAAAATTTCATCCTATTAACGACAAAATTCTTCCTTGGCGTGGAATCAATCTGAATTCCATATTGTTTTAGAAGAAAATCTCCATCGGCACCCTCCATGAACACGGCGCCATCCTTGTTATCATTCAAGAAGGGAATAATGTTCTTAATATTTTCCTTCTTATCGAGATAAGCTAATTTCTCTTCGCATCGCGATAAATTCGAGTATAAGTCGAAAGGCAATTTATAATGCAATTCTTTCCAAATCGGTATCACTTCGTTCCCAGTTTTCCCGCCATTTTGAGGATAACCGTCCACCAACGCATTGGCAACTTTTTTGTAACCCACTAATCGGGAAAAATTACCCGGGTAAGCTGCCACATCATAAATATCCTGAGCGAACTCGAAAGCGTAAAAGCTGTCGACAGTAGTTCCCTTGGAATATGCGTCATAAGCAAGCTGCAAATCCGGTTTTAGGGGAAGGAGGAATTGAAATCCTTGTTCCTCCAGATCGTAAATATGCTTCCATAACGGGGTCCTTTTATACGGGAGGATTACTTCCGTGGTGAAGATCGTTTTGTAAAATGCGGTCAAAATCATAGCACTAAAAATCCAAAGCCAGAAGTAATATTTTATCTGCGACGGGACGACCCTTGTATTTATTGAAATTTCCAAAACTACAGCTACTGTAACAATAGTCATTTTCAGATTCACTAAACAATCCTGAGTCACCAAAACACTGATCAACGTAAATATAAACACCACAATTAAAATACAGCCCCAAATAAACATGTCAAATGGATTTGCAAAAACGGAATATGAGTTCTCTCTCTTGATCCCATAACATGACAGGAAACTGTACGATTGACTTCCGACTAGAACAATTTGATGATGTTTAGGGGAATAACGCATGCGTATTTTTCCATAGAAAAAAAAATTTTCCTTTTTGTAAATTTTCACAGATAACGTGACATTATACAACCCTTCCTGGAGAATAGCGTACGCCATAAATTCCTCCAAAGATTCTGACTCATTTGCAACTTGCATCCAGTCAGGATTCCGGATATATTGAAAGTGTTTCTTATGCATTTTAATAAATTTTTTGTTGAATGTGTACACTCCGTCTTCTTCATAATTCAGCCACTTGGAGTAAACCCAGGAAAACTTGTTGAAAGCGAGGGCTACTTTGTCCGTTGCATTTTCGATAGATTTGTAACATTCCCAAGTAAATTTAGGATCACATGTAATAATTCCAAATTTTTTAAAAGCACCCGGGACAAATGTTCTTTGCCGATAGTACAAATTCAAGTGATAAAAGTGCATGACACTTTTGAAACTGGGTTGGGCAAAGTAAAATTCACGACTTCCCAAATAATAAATTTTAGATGACAGAACCTTTTCAGAGATTTTCTCCATTTCCTCGTCTGCCTTTTCCTGGTTGCCTGAAACCATCCAAATTAAGTGTATTGGATAAGATGAAAGCGAGGGTGGAGGAAATATTGGGGAATTGAGTAAATTTGAGAGCCGGAAGTTTGCCCCCATGTCGGGAAATATGTAGGTCCAGCAGAATTTGGGAATTTGCAGGCGGCGAACGAATGACACGTTTTCAAACAGGAATTTCTCAGAATGGTTGATAGGCACTTGAAGATCATCAAGGTAAATGAGGACAGGGTGTGGGGGAATAAGTTTGATATGCTTTGTGGTAATTTTTATGATTAGGTTGCAATGTGAAAATATATCAACGATTGAGTTAAGATAGTCCAGCAATGTAGTAGCTTCGCTTAAATCTGGGATTACCAATACAAAAATAGTGAAGATAGTGAGAAACGAAAGGGATTTAAGGCATAAAATTGTCATGTTGGTCATATTCGTGAGGTTTATTATTCAATGAATATTTGGTGACTGATAGAAAACACTGGGGGTAAAATATAGTTTTATTCGTCATTTTTTTATGCAGTAATAGACAAGGTATAAAAATCTATACACTTGAATGGATTTCTAAGGCGTCGTATCGATGCTTCGTACTCAATAATATACATATTTATTTAAATGACATACGTTTTCAACTACGAGAAACTCCAAGTTGGGTTTTCTGACACGTGAGATTTTAAGCCTGTCTTGGGACATGTCAAAATCTACATGAATTATTACGTTGGCAATTCAAAAACAAAAATCATTTTAAATGACATTTGTGACAAAGTGGCAGCTTTGTAAACATTGCGCTTCGGCGATTGGGTATCTACTTCGTAGATATATGAATGTATAAATAAATACATATATACATATGTGTTATCTTTTAGCTGCTTGAAAGTTGATGTTTGACGAATATATGGAAGTATTGACCGAATACCTAAGTTTTGCGTTAGTTGACCTCAGATTAAGTATTCACATTTCAGGATTCGGGGTACAAACTGTTCAGTACTTAGGTATATACACACTCTTACGCGAGAGCCTTACTATTGCATGAAAGGTTACTGCAAGCCAAGCTAAATAAATGCATGCATTTATTTATTTAGCTTAACGATTTGGTGCATGCATCAAATCGTTTAAACAATTTGGCAAGGTACACGCGCATTTTTAAATATGTCTCGCCAACTTCATCTCAATTTGGATTTTATTAATTAGTAAATTAATTTCTCAATTTTGCCTCAGTAAAACTTTCTGTTATAAGTAATACACATATTAAAAAATCGTTAATAAATACATAATCCTTAAACAAATATATGTGACGGTTATCTGTACATGACACTCTAAGAAACCCGATAACTAAGTCATTACCAGGCGAAGTATCTATGTGACTCTACCGCATGGTAATTAATTTATTATTAAGTGGTAGACATTGTGTTACCAAACCGGTAATAACCCCGGTCGCGAAATTTGAAAATATTACAAGTTGGTAAGTAATTTTCTACCACATAATAATAAATTAATTACCATGCGGTAGAGTCACGTAGATACTCCGCCTGGTAATAACTTAGTTACCGGGTTTCTTAGAGTGTAGCGATTTCTGAAATCCCTAATGTAACCGACAAAATACCTTGATGTAAGGTTCAAAATTGACGTGAAATCCGATTCCACGTTAATTTTATAACTACATACATACATAAATGCGTTAGGTGTGTACATAAATTCAACGCGAGTTGACTTTGTAAACATTTTTGTGCATGTCTTGCCAAAAAACCTCATAGGCGTAACCAATAGCAACCCTGATTTTAGCTGAAAATGCTAACATCAAAAAATCGAATTATTTACGAACTTTTGTTTACGAACCAAAAACAGTTTTGTAAAAATGCGTAAGTTAAGGTTCATGAGAAATGTGTCTACAAGGTCGTAAGAATTTGTAAGCTTACAAATCTTACGCTGCTGCGAAGGTTATAAACGTTGTTGAGTTCCTTCAGTGGTTAAAATTGGTAAAAACGTAATCAACAAGGGCTCCGAATGTCCAGCATTTGACGGGATACTTAAGATGAATTCCACTTCCGAAAGCATTGATTAAGTATTGTAAACACTTTAACCTTTTTCATAGCTAGTACATATGTATGTACATTTGACACCGTATTTTACTATTTTGAACAGTAAAAACCCTTTTAATCCTGCACTCCTAAAAATATGGTATAGTCCCAAATATACATACTCTGCATGTATAGATTTAGAAATAATTTCCTAATTTCCGGATTGGTATTAGTTTGTACCTAAATGGTAAATTTTAATTACCACAACATTACAAAACCGTAATTCCCGTTATTGCTGGTGCCCGTAGAGTCATATGTGCACTCCGGTTACTAATGATTTAATACTGAGAGGTAAATATTCTAAGAGCATGGAAAATAATTCTGGACCGGATAAATGAAACCGTGATATTTTTGTCATCTCAACCTATGTAAATAAGCTGTGATGGTCACTCATCAAGTCAAAACCATTACCAGTTACCGGATAAGTATATAATCCTCTAAATGAGAAAAATAAGATTACATTACACAATAAGAGTACAAATTGATTGACTGAAGAACTGGTGCCTGACCAGGGTCAGACATTTCCCAACTATTTGATTGATACTGACGTCCAGCTTGAAGTGGTCAACAACACGTGTGTTAGGTACAACTCTTTATTGGTAACTTACATTCATACATAATTACGATGACAGAGCAATGTGTAACGTTGGATTGTATGCAAGTATAATGTTGAACTTTATGCCAAGTTTGTTTTGTGTTATTCAAAGTTGCGAAAAATGGGAAGCCCAGCTCATTATGCCGTCATCCTTGTGACTGACCAATCAATAATTATCGTGACATAGTTAATCTCTTGAACCGTGATCGGACGAGGGCTGGGTTGGAGTTGTGCTGGACATTGAGACACGACCACACCATTACTTATGCGCACATAACATTATTTAATTAATTGCATCATCCATCATAACCATTGTGTCTTGTCTTATCGTATGTCCTCGTGCGAGTATATAAAACTCTCCGGTATGACAAAACTTTGCACATTTCTCTCCCAAAACTTGATAATCATGAGGACGGCACTTTTACTGAGTTTGGTTTGCGCCTTGGCCGCTGGTAAGATGCATAAACGCATAAAAATATGTATAAAATATTTTTTTTAATTCCTCAAATAAATTTTCACAGCCGCGCCAAGACCAAAAACCACCCCATATGTCTTTCCGGGTCTGAATACTGGTAAAATCGTCGGTGGCATAGAAGCTGGCCGTCACGAGTTCAAGTTTTTGGTCGACATGCGACGAGGCAGTCACTACTGTGCTGGTTCCATCATTTCGCCAGACTGGGTAGTTACGGCGGCTCATTGTTCTCAAAGTGCCCCCAGTGGTTACACCCTCACCGCGGGGGATCACAACATCAACGTGGTTGAAGGCACGGAACAAACGCGACAAGTTGTCCAGATTATTAATCATCCAAATTACGGATCGTAAGTAACAGATCAAAACACAACTTTATGAGTACGTGTTTTTTAATTAGACCAAATCCTTAGCAAGATATACTTACAAAATTGGGTCTAGTTTTAATGCACATACCATAAAAAAAATAAGCGCGAAAATTTAAAATTACTAATTTTTTAGACCAAGGCAATACGAAAATGATATCGCTTTGATGAAAGTTTCGCCACCGTTCGAATTCAACGAGTATGTCCAAGCCGTCGTTATTCCCGATGTTAACTTTGCTCCAACAGGTAACGCATTAATTTACAGCTTGTTCCACTCAACTTTCTTTAAGCGTAAATAATTCAAAGCATCTATAAAATATAAATAACATATTAACTTCCGGTGCAAAACTCCAGCCGGCACAAAAAAGCATCGATTCCATGAACTTTAGAAATGAAAATATTTACATAAATAAAGGTAAGAAAATCGGTGGTTTTTACGTACTCACCCTCGCATTGAATTTGCAATTAGTAGATCCGTTGAATTATATGTACAGATGGCAAAAAATCTGAAAGTAACACGCATACGATACATTTGTTACCATTACTTGTAAAACATTCTTAAACTTGTATTTAATTTTTAAAGCCGTTGCCACCGTTACCGGCTGGGGTGCCCTTACCGAAGGGGGTTCATCTCCATCAAACTTGATGAAGGTTGATGTCCCACACGTGGATGATGAGACCTGTGACAGAAATTATAACGGGGGCATCGCTCCATCCATGGTTTGCTATGGTGAAGGTGGAAAGGACTCGTGCCAAGGAGGTAAATATATATATGTAGCTCCTCAAAATCTGAAAATTTGGGTACCAATTTTTATTTATTTTGGTATTAATTTGACATTTGTCAATAGATTCCGGCGGCCCAATTGTTTGCGGGGCTGACCAAACTTTGTGCGGAATTGTTTCATGGGGTCAGGGTTGTGCTCGGCCAAATTACCCCGGCGTGTATACTGAGACGTCCTATTTTGCTGAATGGATCCGAGGCTCGACCATCCCCACGGATGAAGACCCCACTCCAGTCGAATCCAGTAAGTTTTGCATTAATTAGTATTTAACCTCTCGAGGAGGAAAATATATGTACAAATGTGTGTACCGCATAAATTAGCTTGACAGCAAAACTAAAGAATTTTATTTTGTGGAAAATTCGAAAGGAAAAAGTTGATTTTTTCGATATTTTATTCTCAAAGTTTCCAACTATCCTAATACGGACCAATGTTTATGTTTCTCGTCAAACAAAATTCAAAAATTGGAAACTGGTTAAGATAAATACTTGCCTTTGCCAAGAAATAATGATCACTTTAATTTGTAGCTGGCAGGTTAAATTATGCAAAGAAAATCACTGGTACGGAAGAGGTTAATATGTCTTGATTCTATTCATATAGTTACCTCGTGTGGTGGCCGAATTGACGCGTCCTCCGCCGAAATAACGTACCAACTTGGCTCGTCCATCCGTGCTGATCAGAAGTGCGTCTGGATCGTAAAAGCCCCTTACGATTCTCTCAGATTCCGACTTTCCAGCTCTGGCCTTGGTGAAGGCGACGGAATTTATTTGACAAACTTTGCCAATTCTCAACCTGGCACGCAGCAGCGAATGTAAGCCTAAAACCTTAACGGAAATATTACTCATCCCAAAAATCGTCAACATCAGCACATTTTCAGTCATTTCTTCGCTCTGGAAATCATTTACTTAATTTTAGATGATATTAGCCGCGCGCTATAACTTGTCCTGGTCTCATACATAAATTAACGGTTTATACAACACAAAACTCTACCGTTAAAATGTGTATGAGACGGGGACAAGTTAATATAAATTCCCAGAATCTGGGAACGATTAAAAAGTCATGATTTTGACGATAAGTCATCAAGTCCAACATTAAGCACCACCTGAATAAACTATTTGGGGTATTGCAGGACCACCGTCGGCCAAAACTACACGGTCACTTCTGGCTTTGTCCTCGTCACCCTAAATGTTGGAAACGCACCAACTCGTGGCTTCCGGTTGGAATTTTTCTCCTCCGGCTTTGCCGATGCTACTCGCGACTTTACCGGTTTCGCCAGTCTAAACACGAACAGCGGAAACTTTTCTTACCCAATCGGCGGCGGATCTTATTTGAATAACGAGAACGCCCTTTTTGTCATCAATCCAATCGTTCCAGCCATGAGGACCTTAATGTTCACCAGAATGAATGTCGAAAATGATTCCACCTGCTCGTATGATGCGGTTACAATCTATAACTGGTTTGGTAATCAGTACATCCAAGTCGCAAAGTGAGTGGGGAACAAGTTATTGGGGGTATTCACACTTGCCTTCGTGTGCTTAGTATCAATTTTGCTTAGTATTCTTAGCGTCCAGTTAATAACCCGTTGCAAACATAAAGTACCTGGTAGAAAACTATTTGGTAGCATAAACCACCACGTTCCTTTTTGAAATCTTTAGTCTTTAGTTTACAAAGACAAAGCAAGGGGCCAAGCTTAAAGAATTAACTCCACTTTTTACGATAAAATCATACGTAGCTTACAAAATCTCATAACCGTCGTAACTTAAAAATATTTTACGATGCGAAGAATATTAAGAATACGCAGGAATCAAATACCATCAACGATTTTTGAATACAAGTTTAAGGTCATGGAATTAATTTGTGTGATATTTTTCAGACGGTGCGGAACCACACTGCCTCCATCGACCACGTTTGAGAGTGGAGTTGGTCTGGTCACTTTTACCACGGATTCCAGCGTCGTAGGAACTGGATTCGATTTTGAATGGGTGTAAAATACAAAGTTGTTCACATTGTGTAGACTCAAACTTGAAAATAATTATGTAAAATGTATACCCCACTGTACCTATTTGTGGTCTGAATAAAATTTGATAATTCCTTAATACGATAATTGTTGGCATTATAATTTTCTAGGCATGATGAAATGTTTTAATTCAAATTTTAATATCCAAACTCAATAATCAATATTTTACTTCAGGCATTGAATAAGTATCTTCAGGAAAGTTGATTTATATAATTGCCATCGACATATATGAATGAAAAGCGAACACGATACATAACGATCTATAGCAAAATAACATTGGATGGACAACTAAATTGATGTATGCCAGATATCAATTTTTCTCCACATTTTCATTAACCTTTTAACATGTATGATTAACAACAAGAAAATGCATTAAATCGGGAATGCTATAAGTATGTTGGTGGTCATGGCGCGGGAGGAGAAATTCTGGAGTTTTAATAAAACTCGAAAAACTGAAAAATCAATAATTTAACTATAGGGAAATATCCTAATTTTCGGGAAGAAAATCTTCAAATTTAGCATTGTGTTGGCATAGGAGAAATCCCACAAAATAGCAACAAATTTTAGGTCGCGGAGAGAAAATGGTGAAAATCAATGACCTCCTAGAAACGACAATTGTCTTCCTTCCGCGCCATGGCCACGACGTTACAGTTTAAAGTAAAAAGATAGTTTTATTATAAAAGTTGATTACATATAATAATAATAGAATTATTTCAGCACACAAATTTTGTCAAATAATTTACAAAAATGATCAAACCCTATCTAGTAGGAAATATCTTGATCATCTACGTCGCTTAAACAATATCAAGCTCATCTTGATTTAACATAAATATATTGTTTTACAAATAATAGTTCGAGTTGATTAAATTATTTCATCAATAAATACCTTAACTTATTTCATCAATAAATAGGTCCTTAACTTATTTTTGAACGTAACATAACTTAGTTCATCCTTAATGTCATTAGGTAGTGAATTCCATAATAATATTCACCTAAAGTTAAAAGAGTTTCTCCCAAATTCTGTCCTTGGCTTCATGGTACTACGAAAATTATTGTTGCTCGAGCCCCGAGTCATATGATTGTGAAACTCAGATAGTTTACAAAAATAACCGTCAAAAAATGGAACATTATTGAGCTTAAAAATTTTATACATAATACAGAGTGTACGAAAAATTGACATATCCTTTGGGAATAACCAATTTAAATCTAACTTTATATCGGACAACACGGGATCAAACTTTCTTTTGCGCAACACTAATCGAGCCAATGACCGAATAACTCTTTCTGCAACAATAAGGTTTCTCTGTGAGGCGACACCCCAGACACAAGACATGTAATTTAAAATTGAGATTACTACAGCCACTCCAATAGTTATAAGTGATTTTTGTGTAAAATATTGCCTTACAGTGTACAAGCTTCTTATTCTAAAATATGCCCTTTTAGCCATGTCATCAATATGATACCTCCAGCTTAAACGAGAATCAATAGTTAAACCCACACATTTTAACCTGTCACACGGAACAATAGTAACACCACTAACAGTAACATTAAAATTGGACATTAAACTGAGATGTGAACGAGACCCGAGTAACAACATTTTTGTTTTACGGTCATGAAGTGACAGGCTATTATCCGAAGTGTACCGTACAATATTATTCATGTCTTCATTTACACAATTTTGTAACTCTGCTAGTCTTCTGATGTGTCCAAAATAAGCAAAAGTTGAGTCATCTGCAAAGTAGTTAGGTAATGCATATTTTAACGCTTTCGGCATGTCATTATTATACAAAGAAAACAATCTAGGACCGAGAATACTACCAGCTGGAACACCCGCCATAGTTTTTAATACTTTTGACTTTTTACCATCTACATCAACAAACTGTTTTCTGTCTGACAGATAATCACGTAGCCAGTGGTCAGATATACCATACAAATCATGTAACTTTTGTAACAATTTTCCTCTATGAACAGAATCAAAAGCCTTCTTAAAATCAACAGTGATCAAAACGCACACCATTCCCTTATCCAAATTCAGACGAATCAAGTCCGTGAGTCCTAGTCCTAAGTGCTCTGTACTGTGATATTTACGGAAACCGAACTGAGAACGGCACAATATTTTATTTTCTTCTAGATATTTTTCAAGTCTATTGCTGAAGACTTTCTCCATCAACAGTAAAAGATAGGGCGTTAGAGTTATTGGCCTAAATTCGTCTGGCTTCGTAGCATTACTAATTTTGGGAATGGGGACAACACACGAACACTTTAATTGGTCAGGGACTCTACCAGAGGAAAATGACTTTTTGAAAACTGAAACAAGAGAATCCCTAAAATGAGGAATGGGAAGAGCAAGCCCTAACATGTACATTGACATGCCTACAGTATCTGGAAATTTGGAAGATTTGTGCTTGAGGCCTTTCCATGCAGGAACTATCTCAAACGTTGAAACGGATTTCACCAAAAATTTTGCTGACTTGGAAATATCAATTGGGCTAAAATTTCCAACAGTATCAAAAGGTGCCACCCCTTCTGGAAAGCCCATTGAGCAATAATATTGATTAATTTGATCTAGACTAATGTTGGCACCTATTTCTCCCTGGATTTTGCCAAAGCGCAAGCCAAATAACTTGAGAGTATCCCAAGGGCCTATCTTGTTTACTAAGCGTTGAGTGTTATCAAAAGTATCTACCTTCAAAGAGTTGCGAATTGACTTATTCAAAATCTTAAACTCACAAAAATCATAAGTACTACGTGATTTCTTCCACAAATTATAATGAAAGTCTCTTCTCTGTATAAGTTCTTGTGTGCGCTTTGATACACGAGTTGAAGTTCTATCCAGCTTGACTGTAGTTGTTTCAATTGGAGCATGTCTATCAAAAACAGAAAGAATATTATTGGTTAGTGCGTGACACAAAATATTACAATTACCATCAAATGGTAACTTCTTGACACTTTCAACCATATCATTTACAAATAGTTCAAAATTTATACTTTTATAGTTACGCTTCTTTATCTGTTTTGATCTATTTATCTCGTTACATACTTTGACTTTACAAAAGCAGAAACGATGGTCAGATATACCCTCCTCTGAAACATTGATCTCAATAATTTTTGAAACTTGATTATCTTTAACAATAACAAAATCTAATAGACTGTCGTCTCTGGTAGGCATTTTAATTAGCTGAACATAATTATGTCGATCAATTAAGCTTATCATTTTCTTTGACTCATAAGAATTAACCAGCATATTTACATTAAAGTCACCAAGTATAAAGCTTTGATTCGACATCGTGTTGAGAAAAGAGAGAATTGCTTGGATATTACGCAAATCATTTAGACACGGATCAGGTTTATAAATTACACAAACAATAATTGACTGCCTATGATTAATTTGAACCTTAAGAATAAGATATTCCACACAACTTCGATCCAACCACTTTATATCATAATTCATTACCCTTACTTTGAAATATTTTCTTACAATTATCGCAACTCCTCCACCTCTTGTTAATCGATCCTTTCTGTACATTTTATAACCATCCGGCACGCAATACTCACTGTCCTCCTTGAACCAAGTCTCAGTCAAACAAAATACATCTAGATTATAATCAGTAACGAGTTTTAAAACCATTGGAAATTTATCATTATACGACCGTAAATTTTGATGACCGATACAAATAACCTTCTTACGATACATTAGTCAATCAACAACCATATTTCCATCCTCTGTTGACACTTCAACCCTATTTTCTTTGGGTCGCGGCTGTGAAATATGTTCCTGATCACTTTTCCTCTTTAGCGACGCCCGTGTTTCTCTCCCACCGTTTGATGATCTTGACGCCACCTTTGCCTTCCATTCCTCCTGCTCCTTGTGAGTAAGATCCTTCCGAACTGAGATCGATCTAAATTCCTCCCGTCCAGCCAGTAATTTGCGATTGTTCAGGGCAGCAGACTTCTCTGCTGCAGATGGGAATACGATTCGGAGTGGTCTCGGCTTCCTTCCATTAGGGTCACCAATTCTTGTGTCGTGCAGAGTGTGGTTCCGGGCGGGAGCAATTACACTCAATATTTGTTTTGCTGCCTGTAACCCGGCTGCAGTCTCTGGGACTCCCATCATAACAATGTTCGACATCCGAAGAATACGTCGCTTTTGCTCATGAATTTCTTCCCTCAGTGACAATAGGTCTTGTTTGACGCCTGACTCCATCGCATCAACCTTCTTCTCTAAAACATCTTGGCGCTTTTCAACTCTTTCGACTTTATTCACCAGGTTGCCGATTTTGTCCAAAACATCGGCTGTGAATGTTGCAAGTTCATCTCTGACTGCACTTCCGACTTCAGCTCTGACTGCACTTCCTACAGTTGCTGTTATCTTTTGCTCAAACGTTATTGCCGCCTCATCATGTGATTGTTCTTGACCCCCTTTACTTCCTCCCAGCCCCAGTGCTCCAAACATTTTGTGTAAATAAATTTCTTTTAGTATGTTGTAACAAATTTGAAAAAGATCAAATAATCAATAAATTCTTGCCTGGGACTGAGCCCAGCCAAGGTCAGTGCGTTTTAGTTGCCTCCAGAGTGCATTAAAACTCGACCATGACCGGGACCGATGGGACGACCAGAAAAGTTAATCAAAACAAGTCTGTATGCTGCGAATGGAGTGATGATTGAATAATTGAGAAAAGGTTAGAGTCGTCGTCGTTGAATTACTCGACTTCAAAATGTAAGAAATTTAGAGTTCACAGTTTTATATAAGTTTATACATGGGCTAGCATTAGAAGTTACACAGTGAATAAGATTTAATGTTAGCTGGCACTGTCGCGATTAATTTGTCAAACTTTTAAATGGCTTAAGATGTGATGTAACAGCGAAATTAGCTTTAAATTTAGCGAAATTAGCTTTAAAGTGTTATAAGCTTATTTTCATGCTCATGTAACTTATATGTAACCATTTGTAGGGGCGCCGGAAAAAGATGGACATTGTCCCCCCGGAACTCCAGCAAAATCGTATCTTGCTCACTGCACTATTTAATGTTCAATTTAAAGTTCTATTTAATCCAAACATTTGAAATTTGGCATAAAGATATTGTA